TTCCGTTCCCCATTCATCTGAGTTCGAAAGCAACTCAATTAAGATCAAACAGCTAAATATTTGGACTATTTCATCTCTTGTGTAGCAAAATGGGCATCTGGAAAGCTGCTTCAAACCTCCCTGGTTCCATCCAGGGTTTCAGATTGGAATCCCATTGATCAATCGCTCGTAAACTCGCACATTTTGATGGATGACGGTTTTGGCGCAATCATGATGGTTTTGGCAGAGAAAACTCCGATCATATGGTTCCGTTCATCTAGGACAGATGGGTTGACTGATAACATGTCCCGTTCAATATTTGTTAGTATGTGTTTGTCGTTAATTTTACTGCTAGACGAGTTTCCAACCAGTTAGTTCCCTTCAGATAAGCTTTGCGCCAAGACAAATTGCTCCGGATGCAGAAGAGATTTAGTCCCTCCGGGGAGCACGTACTGACTACTTTGCAGACAGTTAATAGACCTTTTTGCAGCACAAATGCCTTTAATACTGCAGATCGAACTGAAGCCATATGACCACCATATTTGCTGTCATGTTTTTTTTCTGAATAAAGAAGATAAAGTTATGCCTTTTCTGTGTGTTTGTGTTTCTTCAACTCCGTATTCTCAATCTTCCCTAATCATATTATTTGCCATAGAATATTACAGAATTTCACAGACGAATTTTTACTCACACACACAGAGAAATGGTCTAACTGGCCCCCACATTTAGATCATCGAAATCCCTTCCGGATAACAGTTGTGGCAAACCACCAAAATAAGATTGTCAGCCCAACCAAAGAGCACGGATAATAAACTTCCAATCAAGTAAATTTCTCCTGTACATTCTATTTGCTTCGTAGACAAAAGACAAGCGTTGTATTAAACTTCAATTTCTGCTTGCTAAATCAGATTATCTTTTTTCTGTCTGCGTCTCACTTCATAGACAATAAAATTCCTCGAATCAAACGATAAATGAAAAAGTTGACTTTGATTGTGTATGAGGCATTTTTTGCTTAGCACGGAAACTCTGGGGGTCCAGATGCAAT